TTTAGTTCACCATACTATAGGGAATAGAACTGATCTGGATCCAATCATTTAGGACATTGTTCTTTTTATAGAATCATTCCTACCTAGGACCTTGGTTTTTAATATTATCTGTAGGCACGTTGATCAGATTAGATAAAATATAATCCATAATTAGGAATAGTAATAAGTAAATGATAAGATTTTCACATATTGGATATAATTCGATAAACGATCAAGTTTAATGACGAAAATGTTTGCTTCATACAGTTATAACTTTACCCAAAAAAGATTATTCACCCAAGGTTATCTATAGACATATATCTTCTTGCCAATCATGTAGACACGATTTCTGTGGTAAATATTTCATAACTGTTTTGTATCAACCTTTCAAAAATAACTATCCTACCTCAATGGTGCTTTCATCTATCCTAATATGATATGTATAGGATTTGTAAGATCATCAGTCAATAAAAGTTTTTCTTTTGCAAAATAATATGCTCATATACAAAATATTAACACAGAAGTAAACATTGCAAGATCTTATAATTCATTGAAAAGTATTGCATTATTCAGGCCGCTTACTTCCTCTTAAACTAAGATCTGTTTATGCAGCTTAATTCTTTGCCATAAAAAAATACAGGGGTAAAGGTTTACAACTCATACTAAATAATAACAATTGTAGAGTCACTTCACTGTATGTGGCTACCATTGAGACTGTTCTTAACTGTTCAAACTTATTGTAATAATAATGTATACGGTTTTTGAAAATGAAACTATGATCAGTGAGATTTATTATCTGTTATGTTGCTTGGTGAGTAAATTTTAATTTTCTTACTTTTAAACAACCCTAAACCTAACAGAATAATCACGTAATTAATATATTTATCTGCCTATCATATTCTACGTGATACATAAAAAATCTATCTAAATTTCAAAAGTAATTCCTTTAGTTTTAAGTAATAAATTAGGTTCCCACTTTTGTCCACTTTCATGTTACACTTATTTTGTCGATGCTTTAAATTATCAAATGTAGGGAGGTGAGTTTATGAAACATGTTTGTTTCCATACAGAATAATTTTAAAATGTATGATGAACAAATAAGCAAGTAAACAATATTATACCGGTAAACCGTACCAAGGGCAAACTTACTATTCCATGAATTCAAATATGCACCTTTAATTGAACATCAGGAGGATTACTTGGTAAAACTATGTTTTTCTGTTAAAATAGCCCGTGTACAAAAGCTTTGGAGTGTACAGTTTTGTTATCAATCTTAAGATAAAAATGGTTCATTAGATTTATGAGTGTTCACTTTGCTGTTGTTGATATTCAAGGTTGAAATGACCATGGACTAACAAAAGAATTCAAGACGTGTATATCTCACTGTCATTTCACAATGAATAATCAATAACTATAAATCACGAATTATTTACAGATACAAATTACATAAACAGCAGACGAGAGGTGTCTTCTCGCAATTTCAAATTTAAACTAGTAAACAGATTAGTAGCTTATGTACCTATGAAAAGCTTTATAGATTACTTAGGGAAAAACCAATATCTCAACGACTTTCAAATTGTTACAAAATGATTTATTTTAAGGTTTATTATTCTTGAAAGATGAAATGAGTATTATAAGACGGTGATTTAGTTGCTAAAATATTCTCTTTCAATCGATATGTTGCAGTTTAGGATCACTCTCAGCTAACTTTAGGATGGTACTACTTATTCTCATACAAACAATGTGGCTTTAAACGTCTATCTAGTAAAAGTAATTTACATCAAAAAGTAACAAAAACTTCAGTAAATTCTTAAATCATGTTAATTTCTCACACCAAATACAAGATAACGGAGCCATAGAGTTGACTGACTTTCGCAGATTCAAATCTAATAATACTACTAGTCAGTAAAGCCTTCCTTACAATTCAACCTATATTCATAAAATAAGTCAATGTTCCCAACAAACAAGTATTCAGTACATCTTATATAAGAAAATATTATAATGTATTTCTCATAAGCTAAACACTGTGAACCCAGAAAGTGTATCATATATATATTAATTCATCTACAGAAATTATGCTGATAGACATTTAAGTAGGTACTAAATGGGTTTGTGAATTCATATTAGAAACATTTGAATGTTAAAAAAATTTAATACACCATAAAGAAACCATAATTTGTTAGATTATTTCCAATTTCGCTTGATTAGATTAATCATTTCTAGTTTATATACCTTATTTTTATTTCTCAAATATACTATCGAGCCGAAAGATTTATTTACAAAACATTGTCATCAATATTTTTCCCCAATTTTGTTTCAAAATCACATCCAAAAAACAATGAAATAAAAAAAATCCAGCAAATGTTTTACAAATATTCTTGATTCGATTTTAAAGATATCAATCAATTTAAAGATAATTTACATCACAAACTAACTATAGCTAAACAATCATGATACACTTAACTAATTCAAACAGCTATTTCAACACAGTATAAAACTTCTCAACCCTAACGTTATTGCTGTTTAGTCTTTCATGACATTTACACAACAAAAGTTGTTACTACACAAAATTAAGTCTATGTACATCTAAACTATGAGATTCATAACTATTATCCAAATTGAATCAAAACATTTTTAAGACTTACAATCAATAACACAGTACAGTTACTTAAAAATTAATCAACAAATCTTTTAGCTTTATACAAATTCATAGAAACAACATTGTATATTAACGTAAATTGTACTGTACTTACTTAATATTTTGATATTCCACAAAATATCATAAATTAATAGAAACCTAGTGATCTGTATTTCAAGTACTAATAACATGAAATACTGACAATTATCTTTAATTAACCACATTATTTATTGAATTAAAATTTCCCCTTTATTTTCATTTATTTTCATTTATACTTAATACAATTCATTGAAACTTGAATTAATCGTATATCGTCTTATATACATAAATTTCAAGGTTAATCAAACCAACAAAATTGTATAATAAATAGAAAAATAAACAAACTTAGAGATTAATTAAATAAATAATTGTAAATAAACATAAACGTTGATTATTTTATTTATTCAGTCTCTTTTTTTTCTATATTAACATTCTATATTAACTAATAGATAACTGTTTTGTTACAAAAATGTAAGCAAGATAAGATCTAAGATCAGATTTTTCAAAACAAGACAAAAAATAACATCATTGATGATTTATATGAAGTGTATAATTGTGAACATAATGAATATGAACTGATTAAATAAAAAAAATCATTGAAATGATTTTCAATAAAATTTATTAATTGAAAATTTAAAGAAACAAACATCTACTTTTTTTTTCTTGGCAACTTAACGAATTCACTTAAAATGTTTGGTAGAAACAACAACAAAAAAAAAGAAACCGGAAATTCGATGAAAATTTACTCATTTCAAATGAAACATGGAAATTAAATTATTTTTTATTATGATATGTCATTTTATTAGGGTGAAAATGTATAAAATGTGATGAAACTTGATTTGTATTATTCTTATACTAAACCATGGATAAACATAGATGGAAAGCATAAAATTTCATCAGGATTTATTTAGTTTTCAATAATTGTATCACAGACATTCATAATGATAGATTAATCATTTTGAATAGTGGTAATGAAGACAACTTGAACATTGAGTATTATAAACAATCATGCAATAAAGATATTGCGGATATATTAACTACACTCATTTGTTTTGAATGAATATTTCAGTCTTGACTAAAGTTCTGTACATACTATTTAAAGTGTAGTTAGTTAACCGTATGGTATGTAGTGCGAATAACTTTCTTCCTACATTCAACAAATATTTTATTAAATAAAGACATTTATTGACCGTAATAAACCGAGTTTTCTGTTCGTCCCATTTGGCGACTTATCAACGAAATCCTATCTTTATTACGTAAAATTCATATTGTTCTGTAATATACAATATACTGGAGGCCAACTTTTATCTTACTTATGTTTCGAATTAGATTGGATATAGATGAACTATTTCATTGTGTTTTGATAGTATGAATAACGATGAAAAAATACTCAAGTCACATACATAGGTCTAAACGTGGGAATTGATGTCAAAGACGTTTCCTTAACTAATTAACTGAGTCTTACTAATTGACAAATAGTTCTGTTATTTTGTGACTATCCAATCAATAAGTTATATTAAAGTTTTAAATAAAAAATATCAACCATCTGTTAAAAATAATTAGTTAATAGACATGAGATTACTTAGAATACACAACAATATGTTTAGTGGTGTGTTGAGTGATTCTTCACAATAAGGTTGCCAAAATAGGCTTTGCTGTGGTATAAGACACTGATTTAGTTTTCTTTTAGCGAACATATTAGTTAGTAAATCCCAAATGTTCACTAGATCAGACTAATTTTGACGAAAATTAGTCGCTTTTGAAACAATTTCAAGAATAATTTCTCATAATAAACTATGAAAATCACAGTTTTCATGTTAAAAACGTACATAATTGTATTATGTATTTAAAAACAGATCATTTGATTAAACTTATTTATCAGTATGCGTATTTATTAGTAGCTTCACAAAATAACACTTAGATACATATGGAATAGTATTCGTCTTCAATTATTAAATTGACTTACTCAAGTTTAAAATATTTCAGTAAAGATCTTGGATAATATACCAATTTTTTTTTATATACATAAACAAAACTCCCTATTTATGTTTTAATTTAAAAACTGTTTTGTGTATTGATAAAATTTAATTGTATATATACTATTTATTTATTAAAATACATAATAACCTTGTACAACATGATATATAATAATAAAACTTAACATGATAAGTAAACTATTCAAAATTTCTACAGTGGAATTATTTTCATTTCTCTATTCTTATTAAATCAGATTCTTTAAATATTCATATTATTTTTTATATTCATAATCAATATGAATAAACAAAACAAAAAACGAATTGAACATTGATTATAAATTCAAAATAAAAATCAATAATTCAATTACCTGATTTTTAGAATATTTTAATATAGGCCAATATCATACATTTTCTTTTTATATATTCTTTGATAATAGATTTAAAATAATTCAAATAATCTTAAATAAAATTATATTAGAATTGAATGTAAAAAAGAAATGATAATGATTGTTTGTTTTATTTTCTCTTTTTTTATTTTAATTTTTTTTTTATTTGACAACTTATATGCTACACTTGAAATCTGATATTTGACAAAAATGTTAATAATAATAATAATAATATTTATTATTAATAATAATGATAATGATTATTGTCTTAATATATAACTAACTACACGATAGAATAAATAACATTATGAAATTATCGAAATTTTTAAAATTTAACTAACACCAACATACAAGCACGTACGCACAATAAACATATACATACACACATAAACACCATTTTTATTTTCGATACGCAGTATACTGATATATACCACGTGGAATATAAAGATGATATATAGTTTAGAATTATTAGTATGATTAAAAGTGTTATTTTATTATTATTAGTAGTAGTAGTATTTTTTGTATCATTATTATTGGTGATAATAGTGGTGGTGATGGTGATAGTATTAGTAATATTAGTAGTAGTAGTACTGTGTGTATCATTAATACAATCCATATTAAACTTATTATAAATAATAAATATGAAAAGTACAAATTATTAGTTAATATTATATAGACAGGTATAATGATGTTAGATAAATAGACAGGTGAGTGTAAAGTGAAACTAATATAGTTTTGAGTAGTTTAATAAAAGAAATCTTTTGTTTTATCGTTTGTTTGTTTTTTTATTTATTAAAGACACGAATTAACCCGTCAAAATAGTTCAGAATATTATTATTATTTTTTGTTATTGTTGAAAATAATGTTCAACAATCAATTATTAGTTAACTTTTACAACTAATGACAATGATAACATCATTATTTACTATTATAAAACAAACTATAGAACTTGAAATGATCCATATAAAGTTCAAAATAATGACAAATGAACAAATATATAAGTAGATAATTTGGAAATTACAAAATTTATTTACTATTGGATGCCGGATCAGTAGTCTAGTTGTTAAGCGCTCGTGCATGAGAATGATACGTCTTGGGTTCGAGTCTCGTGAGGTAGAATCGTTGATGCGTACTGCTGAGGGCGAAACGGCCATCCAGTGCTTTCAGGTTTTCCACGGTGGTCTAGCTTCAATTGACTCATGATCTCAACCATTAAAACTATTTATTTTTGTTTAGCTAAAATTAAATAAATTTATTTTGCTTATTAAATGCATGTAGATAGATAAATAAGTTTTCAAATTAGTAGGGAGGAAACGCTAAACAGCTTAAGTAACAAATTCTTTAAATCTACCAGTAAAAACAGTTATTCATTCAGATAAATGATTATGGTTGTGAATATTACTTTACTTCAAATGTTAACATCTATTTATATGTTGTAATATCAAATATGTTAAAAATATTTGTATATTTTAACTTCAATTAATATCCGACAGATTTCTATCATTCGCTATTTACATTGATAAACTGAAACACAACAAAAAATAGATAATTATCAGACAGATTCTTAACTATGTATTAACAAAACACTATGAATAACTATTCATTTTCATAATATTTGATATTATTATTAAGGTAGACCATAATTTTCTAGTGATTACTACATTTTCTATCCTTTATCAGATAACTACACATATAGCGTTCCTTTATTTTAATCTGACTAACTCTATTTGTTTTCCAGCAATTATTCGGTTTGCGTTCTAACATGTGATGTGTATAAATAAATGAACTATGAGTGAATACATCATAAACATAAAAAACTGGATTCTCATTACTCTTTTATGAATAACCCTGTAATCCATCAGCTATGCTTAGTTTAGTCAAAGATCAGTAAACAATACCCTTACAAATTTGGGAAAATACAACTGTATATATATATATATATATATACTAGTCACAATGAAGGTCATAAACTTTTTTCACAAGTGGTAAAAGCATTAAATTATTTAAATACATTTGAAGTGTATAATGTTGTCTATCATGCATATACGAACACCTCATCTTTGGAAATATACTTGGACAGCTCTTAAATTTATGTTATACGCACAGGTTTTTTTAATAGGAAATAACATGTTAAATACAAGAGCTATATAGATAGTTTCTGTAGTATTTAACAAACTAACAAAATTAATTTGATTCATAGAACCGAAGATTTTGGAACTTATAAATTAATAGTCGGTCATAATCAATAATTTATATAAGTTCATAATTTCTTTTTAACTTCATTTAAAACAATATTTTCATAATTCTTTTTAATGTACTCTTATTTATTGATTTTAGAAAATGATTGATTATTTTAATAAATAAATATCTTTGTCAGATAATGATCACAACGCTTTATACAAGTTTTTTTACAATAAGCTTGTTTTAATTATTTTATCGTTTTTTGTCACACTCATTAAATAGATTATATTAATCTTCAAACTTTATTGAAAAAAAAAGATTGATGTAATGTCACGAAACTATTAGGAGCAAATAATATCAAAGTTCGGGTTCTACTGTAAACATCACCATTGGAATGAAGATACATCTAACTAATAAGTTCTTTAAAGAAAAAAACGCCCATCTTAGGTTCTATCACTAGTCACGATCAATATATGTCAAAGTGTTGGATAATATTCGAATTGTTTCTATATTTCAACCCTTTGTTCATTTAGTAGGTAATACGTTTATATAACTTGGCGGAATCAAATTTTTGTGATAAATGCAAACCAATAATTTGTATGTAAGTCCATTTGTATGTACTAATGACTAAATTAATTCAAAAATAAACAAGCCAGTCACGGTACAATTTGAGTAGACGTAAATAGAATTAAACATTTGTTTATTTTTAAAATAGGAATTTTTGACTCAATTTCAAGGTATGAAAACTATTACTGTGGGTGGTTTAACGTAAAATTTTGTTAATTCAGTGAAATTAACGAAATAGAAGTTAATTAAACAATAAAGTTTTCAGGAAATTTATTGTTTATTCAACAGAAAATTCATTGGGCCAGAGCTCACTTGTATACAATAAAAGATCTGCTATGTCGATTTCATAATATTGTATATGGTACATTTAACGTTCAATTTAGTGAATAATCATCGATAAAACAAGTGATTAGGTTTACATGTTTTAAATTAATAGATCAGTAAGCTTAATATCACAATGTAAAGCAAGCTATAGTAAAGCATTAGAATACTTAAATTACTTAAATACTTAAATCAATAGCCTACGTCAGTGATCTACTCAAAAACTAGAGATCTGTGAATTGACGCTTAATTTAGATTAGCATATTAGTGATAATTTAACTTGATGTCCCAAAATGAAATTCAAATTCATCCTCTCAAATACCCTTCACTTATTTAGTTAAAACTCGATTATTCACAACTTTAACCTCAAAGAACTGATCCAAAGAAATCAATGATTAGTTATATCACTGTTCACTTGACTTAACGGATTATCATTACACAGTGAAACTTTAGGAAATGTACCACAACAATATTTATTAAACAACACCAGAATTCATATTTAATCAAACAATTTTTAGAAGAATTCAAACACTTTGAAGATCGTAAGTCTGTAGAGTTTAGGATTTCCGAATTTAAGACGAAATAATCATCTACAATCCCTTGCTTTCAATGTTCACCTAACTGATGTCAGTATGTAGTCAAGACTACCATGTACATACAATTAAAATTATAAAACATATATATATATATATATATATATATATATATATATATATATATATATATATATATATATACAATAACTTATTGATTATATTTTAAATCCAGTTTGGAATAAGCTTAAAAACATGCATAACTACCATTTCATATAAAACATTTCAATGAATCACTTGTTTCATTCAATTGGCTTTTGTTTTTTCGTTCTTTTTATGACTGAGAGTTTTTCTATAAAAAAAGCACCACAAAACTTTATGTGTTCATATAGTGTGTACATGTTTCTATCGTCAGTTATCGATTCAATATGAAATGTAAATTTTGAAAGGCAAGCGCTGTGCTTACATACATCTGGGGTTATGTGTGTAATAAAGAGAAAGAAAGAGACCCATAGAGTAACAAAATAATCAATAAAATCAGGTGATACCAAATTATATTTCAGAAATATAAGTTTTTATTTAAATCAAATAAAGACTGCACTCTTATATTCGATCTCTTAATGAATAAAAATATTCAAGTTAATTCTAAGGACTTTGTTCAAGATGAAATTAATTACTCTCATGGACTGAAATTAGTTGTAGAAACATTAAATACCATATATTTATAATTGATTGATCACTGTGAAGCTGGGTGACACGAGATCGAATCCGCCAGGGAGCACCAGTTCCCTCAAGATTACAGGTACACCTTGCTGACGAGTGCCAAGTAGCACGAAACCCGGGTCCAGGGTTTCCTGTTGACTACCTCCAACCACCATCTAATACCATATATTTATATCATTCTACCTTAAAATTCATCAGTTGAGTATACCCACGACCTCATAAAAGCTCGAACCCGCAGGGAATGTTCCTGAGCATGCAAATACATTACTTAATTCTCATGCTTCAGATAAATAGCTAGTTATAGAAAACAGAAAATATCAAACGCTAATATGTACGCATAAAATCAAATGGAAAAGTTATTTGATTTTTAATTCAAAATAGAAATCCTTAGTTCATGAGTAACGTCATTACAGTCTTCGTGGGAGTACAAAGCATGATTTATATGCTACGATTATTAGTGTTATGAATATTAACACTATTCTGTAAGGTTGATAACTAAGAAAATGTCATCTTCATTGGTCACTATCATTCAAAAATCGATTCAGTGTTATAAATACCCATTAATTATTTCGTCTAAAGTAGTGAATTAATTAATAAGATACAACTTATGATGTATATAATTTCGTGTAATTTTTTTCAGATTGTACTGGACCTGTACATAAATATTGGACTCAATTAATTCCATATTCAGATGGTATTACATGATATTTTTCTATATATTATTGATATAATTAACTACAATACTTTCATCACATCATCAAACTCATACGGGTTTGTTTGAGTCCTGTGTATATCAGTTAAGTAAACGTGCATGTCTATTTCAAGATGGTTATCATTACACTTAATATCTACAGAGAGTATATGTTCAATAGATGAAAAGTTTAGTATATTAGTCAATAGTTTGTGTAAGCTCCTTGATTCTAAAAGAGTGAATATCGTATGAAATTGGATTCACAATCGCTGACATTTTTCCACATATTTTGTGCAATAAAATGTTACGTGAAAATAACAGTGAACAGTCACTATCTGCAATATCATTCCTTTAGTTGTTACTGTGAAGAGAAAAACAAATAAAAAATGGTAAATGGAGTAAATCACTTCTTGAGGCATTATTCCGCTTAATTTGCAGTTTGTACTAACTAGTATTTAGTTTGCGTGATTGCCTCATTCGATTTAATCATAATCAATCGTTTAGCCTACAGATTATTTTCACATCTCTTCTTATTGCAAATTGAATATAATTTAAAAGCGACATTTATACCTTATTTTGGACCTTGTTTTGACAAATA